TTTTGCTCTTTTTCCCCTTTTTTCTTCAGCTCAGCCTCACTTGGCTCTGGGGTCTCTCGCTGTGGCTCTTTTTATGAATATGAATGGCTTAGCACGCGCCTTTTAAGCCACCAGCTGAGATGACTTGTGGCTTTTCAATTTCTCGTTGTTGCGTTTTGCTCTTTTACTTGTCGATTCCTCTTGGCCTCTGGTATCCCCCAGCCTCAAAAACGTCGCTGGTATTGATCATTTGATTTCCAACGTTGTTGGCTTTTTTCTTATACATATACTCGTATATCTCTTTTTATTCTGAATTATTGAGTACTTGACGGTCTGTGGGTCTCCGCTTGTCTGGCGTTCTGAATCAAGTTTAGTTCGATGACTGAGCGTTATTTCGCTGCTTTTCCATTTATTTGCAATACTTAACGCATTACTTGACATTCTTTTGTCTTAGAGATCATCACCAAACAAAGTTCATGTAGCAGCAAATTGTGTAGGGTATTCACCAGTTCACCTTTCGATCTTTGGCCCACTGCAATTGCCTTTGACAACAATGTTTTTGAGATGTGCGCCGGAAATGAGTAATCAAGATTATGCGATATTAGCAAAAATAGATTTTCGATTTCGGTTTACCAGCATTGATTGATGAGCTGAGACAGCGGCGGCAGCCGCAGATTGTTGAACATGACGGGATCGAAGATCTTTCCCGTTGTTTGTTTGAAATTCGATTCGATACTGGTCATAACTCTGGGTAACTTCTGTGTAAGTCAGTCAAATAATATTTGGAATGCAATTAAGTGCTGAGTTATGAATCGCTGAGAGCAGGTGAAATGCTAGCCACCATAAGCCGGCGATTTATGAGGCTTTGGTAGCTCAACTGCAACTTGTCACACACGCACACGCCCTGCATTATTGGTGGCTTGGAAAATCGGGCAGTATCGCTTACCTATATCGGTTTTCCCCTAGCAAAACAGCAACAAAAACAACTGTACCAAACTGGGCCGCAAAATGAACTTAATCAAGTAATGACCGGACTGATGAGGAGCGGCCACATTTCTTTGGCCCGCTCCTCGACATGGTAACATGAGAATATGAGTAATACAACAGATACAGATCAGTAGCTAGACAATAAAACCATGGCCCAGGCACGGCTTGGCCCATTGCCATTAAAACCGAGTTCCCTAGTCCCCTAGCCCTTCTAATTGCCGCGTCCAGTAAAAGCTAAAAAAGTTAAAAAACAAGAACTAGAGGAGAAAAGAATACCCGCTCTCCGAAGTGGGGCATAAAACCCAACATTTTATGTAATGTGTTCATTAGAGCCGATAGCGATTCTCATCTTCCTCGACTGAATAATTGATCCAATAACACAGCGTGCCGTTGATTTTTTACAATCCGGCGATAAAGTTTAGTATCGATATTATCGCCAAATAGTTATTAATTGAGGCGAATTTCCCTGTCTTTTCCATTGTCTTCTGCCCTTTTTTACGACTATGCGAATTACCTTTATTTCTTTATTTGCATATAAAAAATCGGAATTTTTATGGATCTACATATGGTTGTACGAAAGTTATACGAAAACGTTTTTCTGCTATTTTGTTCACCAGCGGAGATACCCAGAAAAATTAACGATCTATGCCTCTTGAAAACCTTTGAACACGATCCATAAAAGGTTGGAGCCATCAAAATGGTAAATGCTACACCATGAAGTTTTGGAAAGGCATCTTGGCGATGTCTTTATTTTAAGTCTATTAGTAAAAGTTGAGGTACCAGACGAGTATATGGGATATTAAACTAAATATAGCCAACATTGTTACAACATTTTAGGGTAGCAGCAAATTCCATTCCTCCCGCATTTCTCTTTCAAATTAGTTTAGAAGTTAACGTCACTTTGATGGCCGTTTTAGGTATAAATGACAATTAGTGGGATGAACACGGAAGATTGGGAAAGAGTTGCTGTCGTCTAGGGCAACATTGTCACTAGACTTTAGTCCCGTCTTCTGGGCCTGACAGTTCAACACGAATGCCACACGCATTCGCCCAGCCAATCCCAATTGCCAGCTGTGGGTAATAACAAGTCCGGTTTAGGCCTTCTACTCCGGTCCAAGCCATCCTCCGTCCCCTGCCGTACTTGCAGGCATAAAATCACTGAAAGACGCGCTTACAGTTGCTATCGTTATTATTATTATTACCATTATTGAATGCTGTTCGGTGCTGGCGCATGGCATAAAGTAACCAAGGCAACGACTGATCATTAAGCTGCAAACAAAATGTTTGTCCGGTCGCGTTTTCCAATTGAATTCCCGCTCATAATCGGGGATAACATTCCGTAAGCCACTCTTAAGATCCAACCGCATAAATACGTGTTTTATATAACGCAAATTGCGTGCATAAATCAAAACCAACAAGTGGCGGGAGTATAAAGACATTTACGAGGAGTTCCAGGGGAAGTTTCCGAACCCACAAGGTTCCGAGCCAAATGGCGGTGGAGATTCAACGTGATTGATAAACTGTTTGCTGCAAAGCAGTTGGATGCCGATGATTTGGTTTAGTGGTACATTTAAACAGTCAAGAAAGTGGCAGGTTGGCTGGCCAGAAAGGAAGCATTTGGGTTCAAAGTCCGCACAGCCCTGAAAAACGTAACTAAAATATAAATAAGACATTCTTAAAAGTTGCTTTAGCTGCATATGCTAAAGACTATGATAGTTGATAACCGAGCTGATATGCAGGTAGGAACCATAGGAGCCTGAATCACACTTAGAATTACCCTGGTCTGGGTAACAATAAAGCAGCTTTTTGCTCACATATCCAGCTGAACGATAAGTGCCATTTAACGGCGTACAGGCAACAAATTAAAGTCCCCGAACATCAAAGACCTCCCAGAGGTGTCTGCCGACTGCCGACTTCCCATATTGGCCATATCGGAGAGCAGAAGTGGGAGCTGAATGCAGGTGGTAGCCCTGGGGGCCGTCAAATTACCATCGTTGACTGGCCGATCTACCAGCGATGGCCCTGCTAATAAAGCCGTAAAATAAACGCCAACAGGCGCAGAAAGTGGCAAGTGGCAAGTGGCGGCGACTTCTTGGCCAAGACGAGAGGCAGTGATAAACGCCCAGAGATGTTTTCAATTGTTTATTCGCGTGCAAATAATTGCAGCCCACTTGGCCACATTGGGGCTTGGATTGGCTGCGCATATTGTAGCGTATTGTAATCAGTTGGCCAGGCCATAATAACGAGCTTCCCGTGTTGAGCGATTTGGTTGTGGGGCGTTAAGGGCGTTGATTGGCCAGCCTAATGAGCCGCTAATGAAAAAGCATCGTTGCAGATCCCGACAGATCCAAATCAAATGGGGATACACCTGATACATTCTCATCGAGAATATGACGAAAGTCTACTGCGAATGGGCGTTGCTGGGACTAAAAAATAATTAAAATATTTACCCAAAAGTGCCAGATGCAAAGGCTTTGTGCCTAACCCAAACTAACCGAATTTCAAGACATTTAAACGGGTTGCGGTTAAAGCCAAATGTAAACGCCCCAAATGCGGGCAGGCACCATTTGTATCTGTGTATCTCAAGTTGTATCTGCAGTTGTATCTGGCTTTTAGGCCCACCCGACAAGGCCATAAACGCTATTTCTTTCCAGCCACACTAGACCACTAGCCAAAGGCCAGTAAACGAACGAAGAAATAAAATGTTAAGCACTCGTTGATTGGGTTAGGCAGATTCGGTTGGTAACGTTAACTGATGGAAAAAATGTGGAATATGAACACGTTTACTTATCCAAATGATCCACTTATTTATTTGAAAAATGCCCCTAATGAAGGAATTAAACAATTTTTGAATCAAATACTCGTATGCCAAAACCAATTAGCTGTTATGTGTAAACTTTATAGATCCCAGAAATTTGTTAGCAGCAAATTGATATAACATTGATTTTGCAGTTTATTAAAATGTTTTCCATCTTTTATGGAAAAAGTAAGATGCAACTTTATGTACTTAATGGATTGTACATATAGTTTTACTATGACTGTTCTCAGTTGAATAGATGAATTTCGAATGAATGCTGGTAAGAGTTCAGAATACTTTGGAAAAATGTGCTTCACACCGCCACGGACAAATTGGTTGCCTGGACGGTTCCACCTTTCGCAAATCCAATCAAATCAGCATCTGGGGTGGGATTTGGTTCGCATAGCCCCCCAAAGGCAAGCCATTTCTTATTCGCCTCCTCGAATGTGTCCAAACTGTCAGAAGTAGCGAGAATTGCAACGGTTGTCGACAACGGCAATAAAGCGCGGAGGAAACACAGAAACATTTATTTAATTAACTTGCATCGAGAGTTGTTGAAGTGTATTAATAAAACATTTCAATTTTCATATTTTCCAGCGGCCAGACGCATGCCGCACACACTTTCAACGAGTTGGTGTTGGTGCCTGGTTTTCGTGATTTTTCTCGTTCATTTCGTTGAAACTAGTTTCGTTGTAATGCCAAGTATTAATCCAGCCGATCGCCTAATTGATGCCACAGCAAAATGTTTTGGAAACAAAAGCCGAGATATGAGCAGTCAAGTGTCATAAATAAGTTCCCAAACAACTAGTCGCCTCATTAGCGAAGAGCTTGGAACACGGATTGGACCGGAGAGGCATCAAGAAGTGCCGCCCGAGATGAGTTGGCATTAGGAAAAGCGGTAAAGTGGAAAAGTGGAAAAGTGGAGTCCAACTGGATAGCCCCAAGTGTCCCCGTCGATCAGGTCGGGCCCCATGCCTGGGTCCATAAAACAAAATCAGTCCGAAATGAAAACATATCCGTGCCTCGTTAGCATCCGATCTCAGCAGGGTGGTTGCAGTGACACCAGTGTTGGCTGGAAAGTGGGGGACATTTTCATTTGAATTTCTCGTTGTAGCTAGCTCTGCGACCTTTGGCAAGTCATGTTTTGTTTAAACCTTTGATCAGATCATTTTAGCAATGATGTGGATATCTAAAAACGACGTAGCCCTGCGCTCTACTTCAGCAATTTTGACACAGACACTGCTTAATTCGAAACAAACACACTGACAAAAGAAAATGCCTTCGCCAAAAACGAAAGATAATAAAGACAACAGCGTGGTGGGAAGCATTGATTCCGAGCGGGAAAATGAGGACCTGGCCCTGCTGAAACTGGTTCTCAGGAAGCTGAATGTCAATGATCAGACGCTGCTCCATCGCCATGTTGGCCAAATTCCGGATGCCCTTCATATGCTGTGGAAGCTGCAACATCCACGACTGAACTTCGAGTTTATGCAACGGAAGCTGCGTAGATCCGATCTGGAGTTGTTTCTACAGGAAATGATCAAGGATATGCCCAGCATTAGATTCCGCAGTGAGCACTTGCAGGAAGAACTGAACATCCTGGAAAGGGCTAATATTGGACGTCTGCTCCACGTGAAGTGTTGTGCTATTACCTGGGATAGTTCGCCGAGCAACAGGAATACCAAATTCCCTCATTGGCCATTCCTCGCGCTACCACGACTGATGAGCCACCTGACTGAGCTTGATATATACTGCCCGGTCCAGGACTGCTTTATTGACCAGTTTGGCAAATTGGAAGCCCTGAAGATCGTAGAAGAGATTTCTGCACCGGCTATGGAGGCCATTTACTTGAGTGGCGCACCATTGAAGTGCTTGGATCTTCCGGGCGCTCATACATATCCCATACGGGGCATCTCACACTGCAAACATCTGAACAATCTATTGGTACACCTTAACACTTTTTTAACCGGTCACAATGAGATTATTCAACTGCCACAACTTGCGGAGCTGAGAATCACCCAGATCCGGGAAAGCAAGGACACAGCAAAAGCTCTATCCTATGTGGTGCAAGAAAAAGGCAATGAACTCGTGGACATTCAAATTGATTGCAGCTTTGCAGATCATGCGAATTGCCTAAGTGAGTTGGCGCTAAATCGCTGTATGAATCTGACTCAACTGAAGCTGTCCAATTGCGTATTCGAGTATCAGGACATGGCACAGTTGTGCCTGCCCGTTTCCATAACCTGTGCTCAGTTCTCCAACTGCCCAGATCTCACTGACGAACAGCTCTTGGACTTTATCAAGGCTAATACCAAACTGGAAGAGCTTATCGTGGATCAGTGCCCAGAACTGACGGAAAATCTACTCCATGGTGTTCTTAAAGTTCGCAGCAGTGGCAATAAACAGGTGCGCTTGTTACTCAGAATCGGGAAAAGTCCTAATCTTTGGGATTTATATCAACAGAACGTAAGTATCTATTGATTTAAGTTGAAGTAGTTTCTGAAGTTTATACTTTTTAGTTGACTTATTGGGCACGAAAGGAATCTATTCTCAAAATGGAAAACGTGGAAAGCCATGACTTGGATGATATTGTGATGCACTTCGAAATATCTAAGGATATTCCTGAAAATTAATAACGTACTACATAAATGTATGGTTTTTAAGAGCTCTTTTACAAGTCTAATAAACAATTCTACTGCGGCAGCCAAACCCCTCTACTTGGTAGTGATATATAGGATCAGAAGGATAGGATCGATATAGTCTGCACATATGGAAGGCTAGTCTAGCCATTAGCTGTAATTAATCTTAAGTCTATCAGGTGGCATCAAACCAGTCTGTTTGGACTTCTCCTCCTGCTAATTGGCCGCCTGCCATGTGGCGATTTGTCATAGTCACCGACTCCACCACGCATGCGCCACGCATGTGGCACCCGACGCCTCCTTACGCCCGCCACGCCCCCCTCCGCCTGAGCAGTGGGGCGAAAAAGCCACACGCAACAGCTACACGATTTTCAACAACAAAATTTGTCATATGTGACGATGGCTTGGTTTATTTGCTTCTCGATTTTTTCCGCAATTTGTGCGTTTCGGTGCTTTGGGCTTTGAGCTTTGAGCATTTTGTCAGTGGTGGCGACCACCGTTGCGGAATGCAAACAAATTTGTGAACATGACGCGGCTTACACAGCTCCAGCCCCACATCCAGCTCCACCTCCAGCTCCACAACTGGGCGACTGTCGCTGGGGCCACCCATTGTTATAATTATTGGGCGCCCGGGTGCCAGTGACAATTTGGCCTGGCTTTCTGGTTAGCCATTTGGGGAGTAAGCCAGTAAAACAGTAAACCAGCGACATGTGTTGAAAGTCCTCCGAAGACAGCTGCTTTTTGGCCATACTTTTCCAGGAGTTGTGAGCGAAGAGCAGCCATTAGTTCTGGAAAAGCGGCTTGGGACATTTTCGCAGTGGAATTGACTCATTTATGGACACCAGCAGTTGTTACATAGCTAAATGGAGCCGTTTGGAATAGGAATTTACACCAAGTTAACTATTGAAGGAGCGGAAGCTGATGTACTTCAGCAACGAGGGAAAGGTTCCAGTAATAAGATATATATGATGTAAATTCTGTAGATCAGGCTGTATATCACTGATTGTTTAGCAGTTTAGCTGTTGCCACATATTCGATTTCACCTCTACGACTCGCTCGGAAATCAGGAATGCAAAGGCCCTAATAACTTGTGCGACCTCTGTCTGCCCCCGGTCCTCATTCCCCCAAATCCTCAGTCGGCGAGGAGCTGAGCCAGTTTCCAGATCCCTGCGCTAGGCCACTAATTCGTTTTCACACTTTTCATGCATCGGACAGGTCGAAATGGCTGGCGGCGCATTGGCAGCTCCTAATTTCATACCCCAGTCCTAGTTCTAGTTTCCCTAGCTGCCACACAAAGGGAAAATGTTTGGAAACGCATAACTCATATGAAGATAGTAAAATAGTGTTTGTTGATCTGCTACTATGCTGTTGCTGCTCCTCAGGCGCGGAAGTTGACACAAATTGATGGGAGCGGCTCTAAACTTCTCTGTAAAAGTGGCCAAAAGAAGGTACGTTTGAAGCTTATTGCTGCATACTTTTAGACAGCTTTTGAGTAGTTTTCCCGAGTTTAAAGCATGTCTTAAGGATATCTGCGGGATTTTCTTCCAGTGCACATAACACCCGTCTGCAGCCGACTAATATTTATATTTGCCCTGCATTTCTCACTCCGCCGATGGCCAGCGATTTGATAAGCAAATGGAAATGCAGTTCGCTGGAGAAAGAGAACAAGCGAATGGCGGAGGAGGCCAGTCAGACGATGGCGGCGAAAGGTGCAAATAAATAATTTGCAGTAGCCGGGCGGCGACCACTCGACGACCCACTGTTGGCCTACCGACCAACTCGACCAACTCGGCCAACTCAGCCAACTTGGCCAACAACACTGAGAGCGACGGCCAGACAAATATTTTATTGCAAATTTGCTGATATTGGACGACAGGCGGCCGGCCACTGGAGCAGTTTGTAGTGCTGCTGCTACGCTCTTGTCCGGCTGTTTTGCATATTAAATTTATTTTATTGAATATAGCCGCAGATTTAGTTAGATATGCGAGGGTGGATTGTACACTTTCACAATGTGTGCGCTAAAATATTTGTTTTCCAACCGCAACTAATGCTATTATATTCAATCTAAAGTTAACTTGTATAAATTGTTTATCGCTGTAAAAGTAATTATAGTTATTGCAAGTTCTGCTGTTAAAGTCTAGATTTTGCGGGAGCGAAACCGACACCCAACAACTTGCTAATAAAGCTCTTTCTAGCAGGTGATTTCCGAAGCAAAGCCTATCAGTAGTGCAATGAAAAAGTGCTCTAAAAAAGGTGGTCCGTAATCGACCCCCTGGAAACCCAAGGGACTTCGCCTGCAATTACCGCCAGTGATGCGAGAGTTTTGCGAACCGCCCTCTGGCTGGCCTGCATGTGCACTTTTCCAGCTCATTGTGATGGTCTTTCCACCGGGGAGCTATGCAGCCCCACGCCCCTGCCCCCTGCCCACCGCCCCCCGCCGGCGGGGTGGCGCATAATTGCCATCGGATTCGGACGCGATTCGTGGTGGATGGAGGAGGCCCAGCGGGCGATGAATTATTAATTGCCGTTGATTTGCATTGAGATCTGAACGGTCCGGGATCATTACCGCGGCCGGCAATCTTGCGGAGCAGACCGATCTCGCATATAGTGTAAACATAATAATCAACGGGCATTATATGCCTACATATACCTATGTATATACATACGAGTATATGTATGTGGCGATCAGCAGAATGCGCTTTTGCAAAATGGCCGGCGGTCAGCGCGGCCCCCAATTGACACCTGAGCGGCCGAGCTGCCTATTATTGCTATTTTTGTTGGTGCCGCTGCCGCGGCCGCTGCAGTTGCAGTTGCAGCTGTAATTGTTATTTATGCACTTGCATTTAGCCGCCTGTAATGGCATGTGGAGCGCATGGCGGCCATGCCCCCTGGGATGGGCGTAACGCCAGCAATTTACAGCGCTGTGCAACCGATTACGTAACAGTTGGGAACGCTTAATTGTGGGGCGATAAGCGAGCCGCAATGATGCTCAAAATTAAATTGTACTTGTATTAAATGTATCAACGAAAAGAAAAAGGAGTTAAAGGAACGCCGATCTATGTACTAATATTAAATTTAATACAAAATCACAAGGCACTTTAGAGAAAAACTTTGAGTGCCAATTTGTTAGAGACGAATAATTTCATTTAAAACAAATAAACATTTTAAAATACAACTAAAAAGCCCAACTAAGTATGTACATAGTTTTTATAAACAAATATTTGCATTTTAAACTTGTGTAAGCAAGTAAGCGATATAGTTGTGTGAATAATATGAATATATATGTATGAGTATATAAAAAAATTAGTTAATAAAGATTACATACCATTTATTATCACCTTCATGCCAATCCAAAAAATTAATGGCATATCTAAATATTGCCAATCATTTATTCTTATTTGGCTGCTGGATCCCGTTACTTTGCAGTCCAATAAGAAGCAAACGAATACACGCACACGCGTAAGTTTCAATATGGCGGCCGCGACGAAAACGAGACAGAAGGCCAGAAAAAGTACAAAATCTGATAAATAAGTAAATTTCCTAGTTTTCTTTTTTGGGCAGGGCTCGCGTGCTTAAGTTCAACTTGAAAAAGTCCCAAGTGACTACTGTGCGATCCCAGGAATCTCAAGCGGAAAAAATAAAGATAATATATGAATGCACGTAAGTATGCACATACACACATTCATACATATGTACATATGTAAGTAAGGAGCAGCTGCCCTCTTTTGTTGTTGCACTTAAAGTCGCTAAAATGCGGTGCGTTCGCTTGTCAAAATTGCAGCAGCATTCAGGCTTTTTTATGTTAAGAAGCCACAAAGAGATGACGCAGTCGAAATGGTTAAATGAATTAACCCTTTTACTTTGCACAAGCACACACACACACATATATATATATATATATATACCGGCATGTGCATGCAACAGGCAATACAGTGGCTACAACAACAATAGCAGACAATGTTTTGTGATTTTTCTGGCCGTTCTTGTAGTTTTGGTACAACACACGGATTAGGGTACACCACCGGAAAAATATTTTACACAAAAGCACGCGATTTAACCTTTAAAAAAAAAACACAACCACGCGGAAACTTTGATGGAAAAGGGACTAAGGTTACCGATTACAATCGATCACTTTTTATCGATTAGCTTCTTCGAAGGTATCGCAGGGTATTGCCAACTTGTCTCAAATTTTAAAAAGTCTATATTTAACTCTTTTTTTGTAATATTCATTACGGACGCCTCGTTAAAATGGGTAAATATACAAGTATTCAACGTAATTTAAGACTTTAACAAAAACCGTCAACATTTTTTGTAACTTGAGGAATGATTGGTAGTATAGTTTAGTATATACATACATATATAGTTTAGTATATATTACACTTTATTTTATTGCGACTGATTGCATTGAACATAACATTAAAGTAGCACAATTTATTTATTTATTTTACAAGGATATGCTTTACAAAAGGTTCGCAATACCTTAAAAGTATTTAAATACATTTTATATAAATATACATACATAATCGATCGATGCGCTATACGGATTTTTTGAAAAACAAATGAATACTACATATGAAATGAAGTGTGCTAACTTTTTGGCGTTGCATCAGCGGCTCGTGTGTACAAACATTTATTTAAATGCTCACCCCACTTCTCGGCACTTCAGATGAAGCTGGAGCTGGAGATGGAGCCGAATCGGAGCTTGGAGCACGGTGGAGAATTGCGCGTAAATTCGTTGCGGTCTGCGCGTCATCAACGTAATCGCCGTCAACAGCAGTCAACAGCATCAAACTGGCAGGCAAACGTTGCTACTGTTTCCAGACGCAGTCCGTCCGGTCAACAGAAGCACCAACCGCCGCGGTGAAGTGGTTTTTTATGATCAGATGAGATGAGCCGAGCCCAAAGCAGCACTTTCCATCCGCGAAAGAAACCGAGGCTCCAACAAAAGCGTGTCTGTCGAGTTCGCTAATGGGAACCATCTACACACATATGTATGTATCTATGTACATTCCGGGTACAAAGTGCACTTGATGGAGCCATTTGGGCAGAATGTAACCCATAAACAAATTCTAGCAGACCTAGGACTTCCACATTTATTACCTTGCTTGTATGCAACACTTTAAATTAGGTTTTGCTCTTACAAATGAATATGTTTTCGCTATCTCATTTTACGTTTTCGAAGAATCTGAATAATACACTAGATCAGTGGAATTCGTAGAAGGCACCATAAAGTGTATTTAATCTCGATCAGTATAACAAAACAAGTCGATCGGACCTGTCCGTCCGTCCATCTGTCCGTATGTCCATCCGTTTGAACGCTGTAATCTCGGGTACCACAAAAGATGCAAAGTTGAGACTAAGCTTGCAGATTGTAGAAGCGTAGACGCAGCGCAAGTTTCTTTAAGAAAGTGACCACGCCCACAAGCCGCTCGAAACTATCATGCCCACACATTTGAAAAATATCATTTCGTGTTATTATTATTATTTTATTATTTTTTTGACCCTTTCATCGGTTTGTTCATTCCTTTTATCACATCGCTTTGGTCTTCCCTCGCATTGCTTTTTCCGTTTTATCAATTTATTTCGGCCATTTTGATTTGGCCATTTTTTCATTTCATTTTGTCCATTTTCGTATTGATCATTTCGTTTTGGCCATTTAGTTTTTCTGATTTCGTTTTGTCCATTTATTTGTTCCGACTTCGTTTTGGTCTCTCTTTCGGTAATTTCGCTTTCACCATTTGTTTTAATCATTTAGTTTTGGTCATCCCTTTTGGTCAAATCTGTGGCTTAGGCCACTTTGATTTGGGTTCTGTGTTCGCTTCTTAATGTTCTATTTTTGTAATTTTGAACCGTATTCAAAGCACAAGCGGAGTACTTCAAACATACACCTGTCAGGCGTTCGAAGTGAGTGTAAAAATGAGGGTCTATTTATACCAGATGCGCCCGGTGCTCTTTCTGTTCTACGTGGTGGAGACCACGGCCAACATGTTCGTGATGTACTTCCAACTGAAGGCATTTGTGTTCGTCAACTTGACCACGATGCATTGGGCCGATGCTATGATCCATTACTTTTACATGGCCTACATCTACGTATACACGATGGTAACGCTCTTCGCCAGCTTAAACCTGTGCACCGGCCATCGCACTTCGATCGTCGAGGAAGTGGTGCGTCCTCTGGTCGGATTTGTTATGTATACGATTGTCTCCCTGATGGCACTGCACGATGCCGAGACGGATTTCTATGTATGGTATGACGAGAAGCAGAAGGGCGGTATATTGTACCCCGAGAAGCCGCTCCATCCGTTCTTCGGTAGTCTGCGGGACCAGGCGACGGCCAGTTTGGTGGCCAGCGTAGTCTTCCTGCTGCACTGCCTCATTGCCCTGGATGTCCTGCTGTCGAATGACGACTCGGAAGACGAGCGTAAGGCATCCGACTCCTCCGACGACGTGGTCGACGAGGTCGACTACGTCCCGGTGCGTCTCTACGTCTTTGGCGGCGTTGTGCAACGCTGGCTCGAGCAGTTCGACTGGTTCCAGGACTTCACCCAAAGGGGAGTCACAGATATCTGATCCCAACGTATTAAATGGCTAGGTTCTTTGGCCTGTACATGTGCAACGCATTTGTGTCTTTTATCTTCATTATCTCCTTTTGCACAACTACTTCGAACTACTTGATAATGCAGCCTTTGCTTTTTGGTACATCCAGTGCAAGGAACCCCCACCATCGCCAATCCCATGACGTCAGTCGGAAGCAACAGTTCGGGCTGCATCATATAAAGCTCATTGTCGTCAATGTGTCAGCGATAAGCAGCTGGGACCAAACAACTACATAAGTACACGTATCTGTATCTGTATCTGTATCTTTCCGCGGCCAGTGCGCAGGTCCAAAGTTGGGGAAGAATCGATACATGATGGGGCACAGCGGCAGTCAAGAGCAAGGTGAAGCATTGCCCTGGTACTGCTGGGTGCGGTGCTTTCATTCATAAGAAATTGGTCTATATTGCATGGTCACAGCCCCCTGGCTACTTCTAGCCCAGACCAAGGATGTTCTTTTGCATCTCAAAAACTGTAGCATGGACTTTCGAACAATGCAATGCGTACCTAAACTTATGTACATATCAAAAGTTAACAAATGCCCAGGTGATGATAATTATATGGCCTACTTTTCGGGGTTTTTAAATAAATTATAATATATGTTCATGATCATTGCTGTGGATGTGCAACATGATAATGATTTTGAATAAAGGTGAGGTAAAGGTTTACTTTAAACATTACTCATAAAACTATGTTCATTTCGCAATCATTTTAAGCATTATTTTTAAGTACCTCCTCTCTTTTCTAGCATATATTCCATACGGATACCCGATTCGATTGCAAAGGCTGCCATTTAGACTGAATAACCAATGCAGAGACTTTAAACAGAAATCAGAGCAAACATTAATAAATCTTAGCCAAAATCACAAATTTAACAAGGAGGAAAACGCATTTTCCGCCCACGCAAGGAGCGAGCGTGAAAAATACATAAATGCGAGAGGGAAAATCGATAAGGACGCCATTCCGCAGGAGCGCTGTGTCCTTGAAATCGAAAAGGGAAGGACCATTCATGAAGTTGGCCGAACTTTTCATGAATGAAAGTGGCCGGCGAGGAGTCGGCAATTTGGTGAGTTTGCGCAGCGTAAACGCGAATTTTCCAGGGGATTCCAACTGGCTGCCATTTCGAAAACTTCCCCACTTCAGGGCACTGACGCAACCACAATGCGCTGCTCCAAGGTCAGCGTAAAATTTCATTCATAAAACTGATACGCCCCGCGGCGTAGATATGTCCACATACAAACGGGCGTACATATAGAGCCGTGGCGCGTGTGAGTTCCCAGGAGGTGGCCATGGATGGGGCACTTGGAGTCGGAGACTTGGAATCGGGCGCGGATATGGGGCTAAGCGAGCACTCCATTTGCAGCTTGTTGATTTTTCTACGCGTGCAAACACAAACAAAGCGGGCAACCATTTCATTCATGAAACCAGCGCAGGGGGGCTCCAAACTTCTGGCCTTCTAAGCCCGCACCCCCAGCGAAAAGCTGCGGGCCCAGCCAAAGATTTTTGGAACTGGTCCAGAAAACAATTTCGCGATAAGCTGAAAGCAATTTTGCCCCCAGGAATTTGTGGTAAACTTAGTCACTTGCTTTTCATTCAGCCGGGAGTCGAATGGGGATGACTGTCATCTTGCTAACTTGAAAATGGTAAAGGTTATTGGATAAATGATGCGTGAGCTCACCGCACAAATATCTGAAAATAAATGAAATTGTTATGAACGTCACCGAGATTTAATATTTCGAATTGCCTCTAAGTTAATTGGAAATCTGATGGCTACTTGTCGTATGAGCAATATTTTCACCAATCCTTTGCCTTCAATAACGCCACCTAAACGCCCTTTTTCCAAGCCAAAGTCTGAATTCAGTTGATATCTGTTGTCATGTTTAATATTGGACTGTTGTGGTAAATAAATTATGTACAAGGAAAAAGTGACCTACTATTCTACTATTATTCCGTAATGGACTAAATTATCGACCCTCCTAATTGTAATAAATAGTTTGGCGAAAGCTATTAGGTGTTTTTATTTTTTAAGGGCTCAGTAACAGCCAAAATGTGACATCGCAAAAAACGGACTTACAAAGTTTATAGAAATACCTTAGGGCACACCAACTTAAGGGTATTGAGGCACAATTCGATATTCCAGGGAGAACGTAATTTTAGCTACGGCCTAAAGTACTTTTTAAATCCATTCTCACTTACACCTACAAAGGAGCAACTAAGCGTTACTTAAAAGATCAAAAAAACGCAACTACGTATAAGATAAAATCAAATATAATAATAAATTAGCATCGATTTATGGCTACAGCTGTGTCGATTGGTTGCCGCCCGCAGGTCCAGAAGTCCCACCCTTCTCCACCATGCTGGGGATGCCCGGCTCCGACTCGGAACGCTTGTGCGTTCGCTTGGGCAGCCGCTGGGTGGCCTGTTTAGCCTTGGGACTTGCCTCTCCGTCGCCGGAATTGTTGAGCAGCATCAGATCCGGTTGACTGCGCACCAGATCCTGCTCTTGGTAAACCTCCTGGACGGCTGCACTGGCATTGGTGTTTGTCACCTGCTCGTTGAGACAAACATCGTCCAGATCCACATCGCTGTTGGAGAAGAGAGCTGTGGCGCCCAGTTCCAAGGAGTTGGTAACATCCAGCTCCTGCTCACTGACCGCCTTCTTTGGCGTGGATGTGGAAGCGATTGAGGTTCGTGAGAAATTCTTGCTCACATCGAGATGACCAGCACTGGGCGGGGTCAACAGTGTGGTCACTTGTGCTGGCTTCGAGCCAATGCTATTGTTGTTATTATTATTATTATTATTGTGGTTCTGTCCGCCCGTCGAAGCCGTTGAGACAGGAGCAGCTGCGCCCAAAACAGGCACATTGGTCATGCTGCTCGGTGTAGAACTGTTCCGCTCTGTCTGATGTTCCTTCATTAGCTTGCAGGCCTTGCCCAGCGCACAGATGGTCAGGCAAATTCGCAGGCCCATGGCAAACAAATAGGCAAGCAGGAAGAGCAGCCAGGCGGCTAGGTTCTCGAAAGAGACCGCTGTGTAGATGGCCTTTATCAAGACCACAGCCAGCGGAAATGGAATGAAGCCCATGCGTCTGGCCACCAAATCCGAATGGTCTGAAAAGGCATGCTTTTGTCGGGTCTGGGTCATATCGTAGGCCAAGCTGGTTGTGTACTCTCTATAGATGCTCTCCGGCAGCTCATTGAATCGCGTGATAAACGCATGCTTCACCCAATCGATGAGGATTTCCGTGAACAGCACGGCAAAGCAGTCGGGCAGCATAACACAGAACTGCGTGATGCTCCAGTCAAACTCCTTCATGGTCTGGATAACCACAATGAACAAAAGCACAGAAAGATGGAATCGCTCTCGCACATCGCTACAGGTTAACTGGAACAGGTTGTTCTTGTCGAACTTCTTGAACACGGATCCCTTGAGCTCCACGAAGTTATTCGATATCATGATGGTCAGCAGGCCCTTGTTATTGGAGTTCACTGCTACATTCAAACAGGTGGCCTTCAAAGAATAGTTAAGTCATTAGCCATACGATTATCAACTGAAACATATAAATATAACATCACTCACCTGAAACATGATCAGACCGCTGTGCAAAAAAACATAGATTAGCGTAAAGAGAACGTGCGTGAGTACTCCAAAGTGCTCCCGCTTGGAATTCTTTGGTTCTGTCGCTGTCCAGAAGAGAGCATCGATGGTATCCTGGCCAAAGGCGGACAGCAGCCGGTCGCCCACCTCCAGCATGTTGTAGAATATGTACAGCTTGATGATCGACTGCGACTTGATGATGTGGTACACCCGATTCGTGTCCACTAGGAGCATTATCAGCGTCACCGTCATCCAGATGACGCCCTTCAGCAGATCACAGATTTCCGCCGGCGACAGCAGCCTTTGTCCGCTGCTGCGAAGTCGAAAGATCCGTGCCACCGTCCTGGAAACCAGGGCCCAAATGGCCATCACAAATCGGACGGGCAGAAAAGTGTGAATGTAGAGGAAGGAGTCGGCGCACTGCATGATCCCGTACACCATGAACCGCTCCAGATCCCGCGGTATGCGCATGAAACTGTAGATCTTCTGCCTTCGCGCCGAATAGCGCTCCTCGTCGTGCTCCAGCATGTAGCCGCGTGTCATCTCCACTTTGAAGAAGTCGTAGAATGTGTTTGTGCAGGTTTCTGCGGGTCCTGAAATGCCCAGACAAAAGATAAATGATTTTAGTAAAATAGATACCTTTTGATTATACATCATAGCACTTATGCTATCATTGGTGCTATTATGTATAATAAAACGCCCTTAAAGAGCGCAAATTACAATATTATTCGTAATTAAGGGATATATCTGTGATTTAAAATAGTTGACTTGGTGGATTGCATTAAATCTAATGTATATTTGTATACAACTAAAGTTGCAATGAAGATACCAAATAAATGGTAATTTCTATATATTATAGATGGATAGATTTCCAATCAGAAATCCCTGTTTACCGCTCTGCAGTCGCTGCTGCGCTGAGCCCGCTGCCGGCGCAGCAGTCGGCGTCGCTGCAACGTCATCCTGGGTGAGCGGCGCCTTTTGCTTGAGCTCCTCTTGCTGGTGATGCAGTTCCTCCACTCGGCTGCCGGTGACGTCGCCGCGAAAGCGCAGCTGCCGCTTGCTGCCCGCGGAATTGAGTGTGGTGTTCATTAAGTACGGTGTGCGGAGTCCATAAAATTAAAAATAACAACGGGCTATGAACTTTCTGGGTGAAACAGCAGCTATTTGGAAATGTACTAACGCGTGCCGGAAATACCCAAACGTAAACAGTGTATGTATCGAATATAAAGAACTATCGCTTACAGTCGCTGCTTTGTTTCCATTGTGAATATTTTTAATTATTAGTATTCCAAGCATCTTAAATAAGAAGTTTTTGCTAGAGTCAAGAAGGTGATGAATAAATGTACAAAGAATAAAATGTTTTTTTGCTACCCAATAAATACTTTTTGAAATAGGATCCGCGATTAATACTGCATGTGCGATGGTCACAGAAAGTCACAAAAGGAAATACCAGCAGTGCTATCGAATTATTAATCGCTGGAGTGCCGCCACTAAATAAACGCGTAGAAAATATTTCAATAGTTTATACCAGAAAATATGTCCGCATCTGTGGAATTAAGCTCATACCGCGATCAGCACTTCAAGGTGAGTACATCAGAAGGTGCTCATACAGATTTCCCACTCAATAACCCAATTGCAGGGCTCCCGCTCGGAGCAAGAGCGATCGCTCCGCGGCTCGTGTACACTTTACGTGGGAAACCTGAGCTTCTACACCACCGAGGAGCAGATCCACGAGCTGTTCTCCCGCTGCGGCGATGTCCGGGTGATCGTGATGGGTTTGGACAAGTATAAGAAGACGCCCTGCGGCTTCTGCTTCGTGGAGTACTACGTCAGGGCGGAGGCGGAGGCGGCCATGAGGTGAGCCATCTCCTCGCAAGAGAAAGCTGCATCGCTGCTGGCATTCGTAAAAAATAACCAAATCCTTTCCGGTAAAAGGGATCAGAACTGACAGCTGGGATATATAATTCAGCTGGGTTATGGCCTACGAATAGATAGGATGCTTCTCCTGATGGCTTTTATTGCAATATCATAAATGCCTATGAACTTCTGGAGAATTCTAAGTAAACTGCTGTTTTCAAAATAGAAAATTAACATATTTTATGTAAGGAAGCCCCCAAATTGTAAGACATGGATTTGTTATAGTTCACATACAAAGCAGAAATGAAGCGATAAAAGGAGGAATATGAAAACTACACTTTAAAAGGACAAAAATATCTATTAAAAAACTTCTTCATTCTTTTCCCGCCCATTACAGATTTGTGAATGGCACCCGCTTGGATGATCGACTGATTCGCGTGGACTGGGACGCCGGCTTCATTGAGGGCAGGCAATATGGACGCGGCAAAACCGGCGGACAAGTGCGAGATGAATATCGCACGGATTACGATGCCGGCAGGGGAGGTTACGGCAAACTGTTGTCGCAGAAGATCGCGCCCAACACGGACAACCGCTAGTTATTAGATAAGATATAAAGACTATAAGCCTCCACAATTAGATATTAAAGCAAACCCCTAGACGTAACATCTCTAATCGCATATATTGTACGTTTTACATAGTTCTTTTGAAGACGTAATTGATATCATTGCGGCCTAGCATTACTGTATGAGTTTCAACTGTTTCCGGGAGTCGGGAATCCATTTACTTCTTGCCAATATTGTTGGCCAGCGAGCAGCTGAGTCCGGTGCCATCGGGCTCGACATTCAGCTCGGTCACCTTGCCGTTCTCCACCACCAGGGAGTAGCGCTTGGAGCGCACGCCGCCAAGTGGGGGCAGATCGATGGTCACATCCAGGGCCTTGGTGAAACCGCCGGCGGGATCGGCAAGGAGGCGCACCTTGCCAGCGGCTCCGTGCTCCTTCCCCCAGGCGGACATCACGAAGGGATCGTTGACCGAAACGCAGACAATCTCGTCCACGCCCTGCTTGGACTTCAGCTCATCGGCGGAGCTCACATAGCCGGGTAAGTGGGTCTGTGGGTTGGGGAAATGTATTATTCAGTTCGAATACAAAAGATGCATAAATTGCACTGCATAGTTGGCCGTTTCTACATTAATCAGATGGCATTACTTATTTCACTGTTTAATAAACTATAGTTTCAAGTAATTTGATTTTCCACTTAGTGCCGAATACATGCACTATGTTACGCACCTTGGAGCACCCAGGAGTGAAGGCGCCGGGAACGCCGAAGATGATCACCTTCTTTCCGTTGACCAGATCCCCGGTGTTGATTTTGTTGGCTGGGGAGTCCTCGAACAGATCCACCGCCGGAAGGGAGTCACCTACCTAGAAGTGAGGGGGGCAGAAAGCACACAGGCACACTTAGAGAAATGAGGGAGAGAATGGTGGCGATAACCTTGAAGCGTTGCAATTTCCGGGTGCTGCCGCAATCAATATTTATGCAGCTCGGCCCACCGGCTTATGTAATGGGATCCGGACTGCCGCAGAGCCAGAAATCCGGGTTAGCCGTGGACCCCCACTTACTTTGACCATAGCTGCACTGGTTCTGGACAGGGATCGCAGTGAAATGATTTGCTGGGGCAGCGCGGAGTTCACAACTCGGCCAAGAAATTTGCACGACAGCACACGCATTTCTCCTCTCTTTCTTCTTCTCACACACACGGGCATACACTCACACAGCCAAAAGAATGCATCTGGCTGGCGGAGGGTTGCCAGACCGCCGCGAAAAAAGAATATGGACTGTGCGTTTTCAGTCAAGTCTTAATTTTTACTACCTCGATCTTTTTTTTTTTTGTTAAGGGGGGAAATGAAAACATTCTGTGAGGATAAGCTTCCGTCATATTTGGGGGGTGGTGGGTGTTCAGTGGCGCTATGTGCCCGCTCTGCTGACTATACTGTCCGCCAATCTCTCCAAATCGTCCAGGCTCTGCTCGTTGATTTTCCTCTCAAAATCGGCCATAAACTCATTGGTCAGATGCTCCGCCTGGAGTTCCGGATAGTGCCTACGGAATCCCCTCAGGATGCTGTCCTTCAGACATGGTTTTATCACCACCAGATTGAGCTTGGTGCCCTCTTTAATATTGGGATAGGATGCAATTGTCTGTTCGTTGTTCAGCGGACGTCCTAGTAGCAACAGCTTTTGATTCGCCGCCGATATCTGCAGTTCCGCCTCGATCTGGTGTTTCACCTCCAGAATCGTCGATGTCGGCGAGACCTGCGTGGAATATATCAATATTAATGACCGCACTTTTCTGCACATGGTTTATTGTTACCTCGATCGTGCAGTCCTGGCCTTTGAGCACTTTGATTGTGATCTGCATGACAATGCCGTAAATATTATTAAAAAATAAGAAGTATGGCTGGCAAGCGATATAAACAATTTGCTGTGGCGTTGCCACCTGCACTTGTCCGATACTGCCACCAGGTAAAGCGACCCTGGTCTGTAAAAAACTTACATATGAAATATGTATGCATTAAGTTTACGTTTAAAAAACGATTAAAATATGGAAAAATATAATGACGTATTTTGATTTTTATAATTCTGATTTATTTACTTAGTCATTTTGAAATTGCCAAATTGTAAATGTTATCCAACATTAATATTATTTTAGTGCAGGTAATAGAGATTAGTGACAAACTATTGAAAAGCGTCCAAAGTTATTTATTTTGCAAATTTAGGAATTAAAATAAGCGAGAACAAGAAAATAACATTTTATAAACTTCCGATTTTATTATAATAAATAATCACCTTCAATGCTTTGCTTCACCTTTGCTTTGGACAATAAGACAGATAACTTTAAAATTGGATAGCATATACGTTAATTCCCGGGACTCTACTAAACTATACCTGTTTAGACTTCGATTTAAGTTAGTTCCAAGGCACAAGCGAAAGTTAGACTTAGCTTTTAAACGAAGTTAGTAAAATCATCTTTAAAGTAACTATCGAAGTCCGGCTGGGTCTGGCAACGCCGCCGCCCGCCTGCAGCCCTGGTAACTCTATTTTCTATTAAGCACCGACAACGTTGCGTGAATAAGACAGTTTACATAAATTATTATTTACAATTGCACAGTCCGTTGATGTTGTGCGTTCTGAGCGAAAAGGTGAACTTGACCCCGGTGCCGATAGTCCGCCGAGCAATTGGGTGTGAAATTCGAGAGCGAGCCTTGTGGAATTCGCACGCGAAAATCGAAGCGAATCGCAGCGATCAAAGAAATTGCAGCGCAAATAATTCGTGTAGCCTCGACGACTGAATTTTTAACGCGAGAGCGGGGTGTGCGTGTGTGTGTGTGCGCTGTGCTGTGATTCTGTGTGCGTGTGCAAGCGTTTTTGTTAGAATTCGCATTTTACGTAAAGAACTAGCTTTTATCAGCAGTGAATTTGATGTTGGCGAACCTATATCGCAGCAGGGCCAAATTGAACAAGTTCTTGCAGCTTCTGGCGGTAAATTGGCGAAATAAGTCCCATGAAAACCCCCACTGAAAATATAACCCACAAATTAACCTCGCCCCTTGACATTCAAAGTTATATTTGTTTCCCCACCTATATATGTATATATATATAATAATTGTGTGTTTGGGTCTTGGAAGTGCAACTACAACTATTAATCGTGCCTAGTACACATTTTATTTTTACGCTCTCTGGCTGTCTCCGTCTCTCTCTCTCCCTTTCTGTTTCACCCTTCTTTGCAAATACGAAACCTATGAGTACTTGCTGGGTGCCTTAACAATATTTGTGTTGAAGAATGCCCATCCTTGCACCTCCAAAATGTAAAGAAAAACGTATGAAAAAACACCAACACTACCCATAAGCGCTCTTCTTCCCCATTTCCATTGGCATGTCTGGCAACCCTGGCAGTTGGTCGACGGCCATTGCGTCTCAACTTGTTGCTCGTCCCTCGCATCGCTTGCTCTCTTTCTCTCTATTGCTCTCTACTCTCTTTCCAAGTGCGCTCTCTCTGCCGCGAGTGTTTTGGCATTTTTGTTATTTATTTCCGTTTCGAGTATAGTTTTATGCGAAAAACACACAAAAACAATGAAACGCCTAAAGGCCTGTACAAAGTGTTAATGAAATAGTTTAATTGGGAATCCGAAATTCGAAATCACCGACAGCACCTGTCCAATTGGAAGTTACAGCACCAATCGGAGGAACGCTGCATGAACGTGTTTTCGGTACCGTTTAGAACCGGATTTTCTATGCTAGAGAATAAGAATATGATCGCGGCTCTGTGGGGACATCTTGTGACAACTTTGGAACTTCGATTCGAAGCGGTTTTCCGCCATTAAGGCAATTCCAATTGGAAAGCGCGCAGCGAGAATGCTCCGTTTCCCATTGGCAATGCGTTTACAGTTATGGTTAGGAGAATAGCAGCGTGTGCAAGTAATATATATAAGAGAAAATTCGAGTTATGAACGTTTCCCTGTACAGTGATTGAAGGAAAAAGATAAAGATGCATAAGAAATGAGCAATAATAGTGATGAGAATCATGGTAGATTTCAGTAAACCCTTAATTTACGTTGAGCACCCCTTGAATACGAATGTGTGTGTGTGTTTGAGTGTGTTGTTTTGCGGCTTAATTGCACGGTGTGTTGTGATGCTATTGTTATTTTTCCTTTAGTTATTGCTACGTTAATTTCTTTCTTTCGACCCTCCACAGTTGAAATATAATTTTCAGATAGCAATCAACTGAGAGCGGCCCAGCCCGGCTGTTGTATTTGTTTGTTTGTCCGGTTGTTTACGTTTTTCTCTCGTTCTCGCTGCTTTTCATACGTATTTTGTATGTTGTAAAAATCAAAAATCGCTCTAAAAAACAACAAAAACACACGTAGAGGAGAGCACATCCAAAGAGCCAAAAAGAACCAGAACCGATTTCGTATTATGGATAACGAGGCGTTGGAACCAACAACAAAGAGCAGTACGTCGGCAGCGACGCCAGCAGCGGCAGAAACGACCACAACAACAACAGCAGCAGCAGCAACAGCGGTGGAAACCACAACAACAATCGCGACGGCCACAGCCTCAGCGGCAGAATCCAAAAACGAAACAACGGCCACTAACAACAATAGCAACACAAGCAGCAGCAGCAGCAGTAGCAGCAACAACATAGTCATACCGGCATCGGCCACTAACGGTATCAAAGAGAGTAACAGTAACTTAAGTACAACAACAGCAACAGTAGCAGCAGCAACAACAGTAGAAGGAGTAGCACCAGCAATAACCTCCACAATCGTGGTGACCGGCGGCACTCCTCCATTGAGCAGTTTGGTGAGTAGCTCTGCCCCAAAACACCAACCAGCCCCACCACCAACACACTTCCCCTCCCCTCCCCCACTCACTCACTCTCTTTCTCTTGCCGTCTTGAAGTCACAGTCTCTCTCTGTTTTTCTTTCGATAACCCTCTATCTTTCACCTGTCGCCGTATTTGCATGCCTACCGTTATTTCGGCGTAAGCGTAAACCTCACTCGGAATGCTTACGCGCAAACTGTGCATTTGTGTGTGTGAGTGTGTGTATGTGCACACAGCAGAGCGCAACACTTCCTATCCCTTATCTTATCTAATCAGTGCAAATGATGTGTGTTATTGTATCGTTGCTTCCCCTCACCCTGCACGATTCAAGTTAGTTTGACCAACACCAATTAGATTCACAATGTTTCCAATTGTTAAATTAGTGTATTTCGTTCGGATAACAAATCGAATCGAAATTGTATCGCAAGTGCTTAAAAAGCCAATAGGCACATACCCCCTTTTCCACGATAAACTTATTGGAATTCCTATTTTAAAAATCTTAGTTTTCTTCCTACTTAAATTTGATTTCATAGATTGGAAATATGTGTCATTTAATATTTTTTTTTGTTAGCCGAAATAGTAATAATTTGACAAGAGGTATAAATAACATTTAATTTTATTGCTTTTAGTTTTCGTTTTTGGTTTACAAATCGTTATCTTTTCAATTTGATTGCCTTGGGTTCTACGTTTTGATAAGACATTTACGATTGAATGAATAGATTGCCCTGAAATCATAGATTTCATACGATTTCCCGACATTTTTGTGTCAACAAAAGACGGAATAAATCTAAAAAGTTCATATTCACCTGCCTGTTTTTAACTAGATAAACTTAAAATTATTGAATTTGTACGATTCCCCGCCATTTTTGTGTCACCAAAGACAAAGTTAATAAAACTTATAAAGTATAAGGCGAGCACTTTGCTTTTTGAAACAGCCAACCAATTATTCAATGAAATGCTTCAAAAAAATACATACATGTTAGTGCCTGGAAAATATATATGCCACCACCTGATTCCCTGGTAGACGCCAGCAATATAATCCTATATGTGTATGGAACCGAACTCCAGCTTCCTGACCCCAGAGCACATTTCAATGTTCGGCAATACTAAACTCAGACTAAAACACACCCACAGGCAGCTCGACTTAGGCGTCAAGGATTCGCACTGTCCAAGGTAAAAGCGATGGCCAAAATGGCAACGAGGGACCACCCCGAACTGAACTGCTTTGCTCTGATTTTGCAAGTGCTACGTTTTGAGTATGCTTTTAGTTCGACCGTATATTGCTTTGCATTCGTTGTTAAAACTATTTTCATTTACTAACCATAAGCCATACCATTGATATGGGCAAAGATAACCAGATAATTCCCAATTGTGCCCCTTTACAGGCTAACAAACTCAAGGACACCACACCACCGTACGATGCACCGCCGCCCACGCCGATCAGCAAGGTCCTGAACATCACCGGCACCCCAATCGTCCGCAAGGAGAAGCGCCAGACCAGCGCCCGATACAATGCCTCCAAGAACTGCGAACTGACGGCCCTCAGTCCGCTGAACGAGAGTGAGTAGCCCTGGAGAATGTTCTACTTTTAATATTACATTATTATATAAGTACTACCAGCTGTTCAGATCGATATCTCCAAGCTGTTCGATCGTAAGGAACCGAACTTGGTCCTGCTTGTCGTAGCATACTTTTCAGGGCAGGGTTGGTTGGAACTTAAGAATATTTACTTCTATTGTCAGCAGAAATACTTCAAACTTAACTCTAGGTACAACGTGGTTTGGAAGTTTCAATGTTGACAAAGCGTATTAATTCCATTAACGATGCATAATTACGAATGTACATATGTAATTATGTCAATTAAACCCAGTGAATTTCCATCATCATACGTTTGCCTTTTATACGTTCATAACTGACAAAAGCCGTTCTCTGTAAAGTGTACCTACGACCTGCAAGCTTGTTGGGAAAAATTATTGGCAGGGGGATCTTGGACGCATTTAGTGCCGGGGCTTGATTAATTTCGCTCAGCTGTTGTAATTTGTTTATTATTTGTTAATCACGTACGCGAAAGTTAAAGGTCAAGGGAGTGTCGTCTGATTAGGTGGGTGGCAACACTG